CGGCAAGTAATCAAAAGATCTTTTTAATTTTAAAATGAAATAAACAGGGGTTCTATCCATTTTCTGGCGAGTAAACACTCAGCGATCAGTTCCTGAGGTGACTACTTCTGTATTTTTGATGGAGTGCCATGCCTGTTCTTCCATTCCACCTGCTTTCGCAAGAGTCTGGAGTTTTGGAGATGGCTGGCTCTCAGCTTTTGGACAGCTTCTTGTTTCCCGCTTATCTCTTTTCATAAAAGCAGAGTCTGCTTATCCTCGAAAATGGCATTCCTCCAAAAATATCAGAATATCTTTAGATAAACTAAGCGGGTTCTAATCTTCTGGCAACAAGCTACTTTAGATTTTTTCTTCTTTTATACCTGCTCCTGTTCTATTTTCAGTTTTCAGCCGAAATTATTGACTCCTCCAAGTCAGGGATCACGTGGGACTGTTCCGTTTTGAAGGCCAGCTTGAGTCTAGTTTGCTTTTGAGCCTAATTTTGGATTTCTTCGAGGCCCAAGTTTTTTCTGATTCCTATTGTTCCCAAGCCTCTTAATGTTTTGGGCCGTGTTTATTTGTTTCGATCCGTTTAATTTAAAGGGTCGGATCGCGTTGATGGGCTCAGAGCTTTGGAACAGTCGGCTTGGGAATGTCGTGGGCTTTCTTCTTTAGGCCTCGGTGCGCCAAATTTGAGCCCAAACAATTTGTCTTTTATATGCATGTCCATTTATTTACCAAATGCTCTTACATACTGAGAGTCATCACCTTCAACATCCACCTCATTTTTAAGTTGGCCTACTTACTACCTGTCTAGTTTTAGTGCAAACAGGATTCTTAACATGTGATTTGCAAAATTAAGACAAGTGTATACCTAAAATATTATTCTTTACATGTTTTAAATTATTTCATATTACCTACTAGGTATTTATTTAATGGTACTTTTGTTCTACAATATTGGAAGAGGTTCTAAGTTCGATTTCCATCTCCCAAGAGATTAAAAGAAGAAATCTTTCACAGGAAACGAGTCTCATAATAGTATAGACTCATTCGTAGGAGAGAGAGTTAAATATGAGTTGGAATAAAAAAAAACATTTGCTATAAGAACAAGTCTTCATTCTATCGATAATTGTTTCATTTAGTTTGTGTAGGTCAAAGATTTAACACATATGCAAAACGATATACATTTATAATGAGTTCAATGTTTATTATGGCTAACACTATTATGATGACGCAACTTTGTTATGAGTATGTGTATGGCTTCATGCATGTCAGGTTAGTAAAGTTAACGGATTTATTATTAACAAAGTTGACAAGAAGAGGGGTGAAGTAAGTAATGTGAGACAAAAAATGGCTTCTTTCTTCTGGGATTTGTTGAGGATGAAAAGAAAAAGAAAGAATAAAGGGGTGGCTGGCTCCACCTTATCCTGCTTCTATTCCAATTTTGTTAAAGGAGGGGAGCACTCGATTCCTTTTCCAATTTTTGTTTTTGTATTACACGGGGGCCAAGAAATAGAAAACGCCAAGTCAGCTGGGGACCACCATGTTTATCTCGTTTAGGGACTCGTGAAACCCTTTCCTCGAAAATCACAAGAAAACAAACGAAAGCGACTCTCAACTCAAGCAGTATCTACTACCTACCTACCTGCACCAGCATCGGAACGCGCAGCACCATCAAGGCCGTTTGGGCTTCTGAAAGTGCTTTCTAAGAATCAAAAGCGCTTCTGACAATAAGTTTAGAAGTACTTATAGGCCGTAAAAGCACTCTCTAAAAAAGCACTTGCCATATGCTTTTTTAGAAAGCACTCCAAGGAATCTTTCAAGAAGCACTTTGATTTTTTATGAAAATTTCAATATTGTTATAATAAAATCGCTTTTATTAAAATTGCTTCCTAAAAAAGCAATCTTCCTCTCTTTTTTTTTTTCTTTCTTTTTTTTATAAATTCTTTTTTTTATAAATTTTATATAGGAGGGAACATTTTCTATTTCTTCCTTAAACCACCACGTGCAAACATTTCAATCTAAATGAAAAACCTGACACAATATTTATTTGGTCTGATCCTGACAATATTAGATTGACGGAATCGGATTTTAGATACTATTATTTTTTAGATAGCATGTGATCCAGTCTGACAAATAAATAAACATTTTACTTGATATTTATTTGTACTTGCTGTGGTAGCCGCAATAAGAAAAAGGGGGCATTTTAGTCACACACAGGCACAGCAGTGGTAATAAATGTTGATGAGAAGAGAGACAAGTAAAACCCATGAATATAATAATCTCGCCCTCGTACAATCATTTTCAATTTATTCACATGGATGAATATAAAAATCCAATAGGATTTCCATATCCTTATAATTCTCCCAAGATAATTCAATCCAATCCAATCTTTTTCAATTTATTCACATGGACGAATATAAAAATCCAATAGGATTTCCATATCCTTATAATTCTCCCAAGATAATCCAATCCAATCCAATCCCGCCCTTTACTATCCAGTGTGCCAAACACATTATGACTGGACTGGATGTATCTATAAAGCACCACACACATTTGAAATCTCACAAAAAGATTGTAGCCAAAGTTATATATCTGAATAACTCTGACAGCAGGTTACACACCTGAAGTGCTCATGTCTCCGACATGCCGGTAGATGGGTTGTCAATGTTTGAACTACTTTAATCAGTGGTGCCATTTACATTACCATTAGAATTGGAACCATAGACATGCCCCATTTTTGCACGTTTGGTCTCCAAGTATCTCTGGTTCTCCCTAGTTATTGGTGCCAATAATGGGACCCTGCCAGCAATGGCCAAACCATAACCCTTGAGTCCAATATACTTTGCAGGATTGTTCGTCATCAGCCTCATTGTTCGAACACCTAGATCTCGTAGTATCTGCCAAAATAATTAATCATACGTTCAGAGAGGCTCATGTGTACAACACTTCAGCAGTAGGACATTACATTGCCAAGAATAGATACTTTCATGCTGAAAATGACAACGCATGTAGGATACGATTGACTTTTAAGAAACCAGTACCTGTGCACCTATGCCATACTCACGAGAATCAACTGGTAATCCTAGCTCTTCATTGGCTTCAACCGTGTCACTCCCATCATCCTGCAGGTTATAAGCTCGGAGCTTGTGGCCCAAACCAATTCCTCTACCTTCATGTCCACGGAGATACACCAAAACACCCCTACCAGCTGCTTCAATTTGCTTCATTGCAAGAGATAGCTGGTCTCCACAGTCACATCTGGCTGATCCAAATATGTCACCTGTGAGACACTCGGAATGTACCCTCACAAGTATATCTTTCCCGTCCTCAATTTCACCCTGTTCATATTAAAACCCTGCAAACAGTTACTTACATGAATAACATTGATCAAACACAAAATTTGTTTTCATTTATCAGACAACCTAATACGGAAAGATTGATGCAGGACAAAGATTTTTGTGATATCAGTTTAGGCAGAGAAATTGCTACAGTTAAAAGGGGAGAGAAAAAGGTAAAATAGAGGTTGAAGAGGAGAGTTGGAGAACGAGAGGGAAGGGGTACGGTAACCCAGTTCTTTATCATCAGATCAATATGCCAAAGTCTGAAACTCTATTAAAATAAGCTTAAAGCCCTTTCATGTCATCTCTGTCAATTCTTTTGCAGTTTCCATAGACACATCTAATGATTCCAAGTAACTGATTCAAAAAATTCATCCTAACAAGTCAAGTACACAACAATGTCTGGTATGCGTCTTCAAAAATCAACTTTAAGAAGTGAGCAATAAAATAGCTATAAAAACAATCGCAGGTAACAGAGTCAAAGCAAGTTCCTGAACATCAACATTGTAGAATAATTGCAGGACTTCCCTACAGACAAAAGCATTGCGAATATCATGAGTAAAATTTAACAATTCACAAATTGACAATTATTCCAACTGCCATTTATTATTGGTGTTCTGTAATAAAGGGTAGACAGTTTTAAGAGGAGAATACTCTACATCAATGGTTTGCTTACTTTAACCATAGCAATGTGCTCAATCCCATCAAGCAATGACTTATAACAGTAGGCCTCAAATGGCCCCCACATTGTGGGTATCCGTGCAACTCCAGCCCGCTCCACCAACTTGTCCCTTTTCCTCCTATATCTGAAAGTTTTAATTGATAACCAATATCAAAATTCGAATTTCTTCCACTAATTTGAAGAGCAGGGCAAGAATCAACATTTAGTAATTACTTGTTTTAACAAAGTATACCAAGAAGTAACAATAAGATTTATTCATTACTTCACAAAATGTTAATTCTGTTAAGAAAAATGAGTGGCAGATTTATTGGCCGCTGTGGACAGTTCTGAACTGATTTAGAGCGATATAAGCTATAATTATTTAAAGCACATTTAAGATGTCAAATAAACATTTTTCACTCACACACATGCTAGCTAGTGGATTTCAGATTATCCACTAGTGTTTCAGTATGTAATAACATTCATCCATTAATGAAACAGTTGTGTAAGGTACCAACTGTTTAACCTTGTCAAGTACCAAGGATTTATTAGGTAACTACAGCTAGTACACTTTGGACTCCTACTGGAAAGACATAACCATCCACAGTACCTGATCAAATCAGCAATGGAAATAATTTTCAAGTTTTCTGCCCGTGCAAATTGACGAAGCTTTGGTAATCTAGCCATAGAACCGTCATCATCCACAATTTCACATAAAACTGCTACCGGATCTTGCCCAGCCAACATAGCAAGATCAACTGAAGCTTCAGTGTGACCAGCTCTTTTTAGAACTCCTCCCTCCCTGTACTTAAGGGGAAAGATATGTCCTGGGCGGTTGAAATCTTCAGGTTTTGAATTCCTCGATGCAAGAGCCAAGACTGTCACAGCTCTATCGCGAGCAGAAACACCAGTTGTTGTGCCACGTTTTGCATCCTATAGAGTCCAATACAATTGAAGTCACCCACATAAGAGATATAACAAGTCATAAAATGGGTCGATTTAGAAAGTAACACATTAAACATTCTAAAATTATTACATTCATATGTTTATCTTCACTATCAATCCCCAAGACACAGAAAAAATATTGAGTCAAAATCTGGATTCCGGCCACATATCTACAATATCCTTTTCACTCTTTCCCTAGCCTTTGAGAGGTCCAACAAACTTGGATGCAGTTACAAAGCATGACTCGACCAAAATGTAAAATGACATGGAACATGAGGCCTGTGATCATTGATAAGGTCATTGTTTGCCACCTAATAGCACATCTAAATGTGCCCACTTGACTTTAGTTTGGGAAAGTTTAAACTACGTACCACTGAGACAGTGAATGCTGTACTAAGTTTTTCTTCATTCTCCTTCTGTGTCACCATAAGTGGAAGTTGCAACCTCTCTAAGTCTTCTCCTTTCATACTCACACAAACAATCCCAGTTCCATGCTTGACAATAAAAGCCATAGCTTCTGGCGTTGCCAAGGATGCTGCCATTATAAGATCTCCCTCATTTTCTCTGTCTTCATCATCTACAACAATTACCATCTGCAATATTTTCTTGAATTAATAATTTGTTATCTCATCAACCTCCAAAAAAGAAAAGCACAAAAAAAAA